CGTCCGGTTCTTATCTTTGCATTCTCGTGGGGCTGGAGTCTCAACTGATAGGCTCAGCTAAGAGTCCGGACTCTCCAGATCCAGAATCCGGCCGGGCTGGTAGGGGAGTCGGTAGGCGTTTTTTGGCTTCTTTGTATATGTAAATCAACAAAAAAGAGGTGCTTACGGGGTTGAGGAGGAATCCATTATCCCGTGCAGTTACTGCTAGAGAGGAACTTTTTTCAAGTTGTGCTTTTCTCAGTTGAGATAGATACATCGGTGTTTGACCCAGCGTATTCTCCGAAGGAGCACCGCGAAGTGAAGACTGGGTTTCAGTTCCTGTTCTGCCCTAACCAGCAGTGTGACCTTGGCCAAGTCACTGTACTCTTGAATTTTCTTCCTTTTTTTTGGTATTGTTTTAAAATGTTTAGATTCAAATATGAGAAAGTGACAGCAGCTAGTGTCAGCAGTCCATTCTCATTAGACAGTGATAGAAAGCTTTTCTTTCTTTTTGATAGTTATGGGGAAAAATTTGAAACTAACGAGCAAAAATTTCTGTAATAGGATGACGGTTCTTAGTGTTCATTTTTATTGGACCTTTAAAAAAAACTGATTCAGAAAGAATCACTGTTGTTTGATCACCAGAGCGAATAAGGTTTTTAATAAGGAAATCTTGTATAACTTTTTCCTGATTTGGGTTTTACAGTCTTTTTAGCCCATTGTAGTAAATACAAAAAATACATATATGTGTATATTTGGCACTGGTCATTTCCCTGAGAAAGAACTGTAAGAGGCATGGACCGAATTTGTTTAGGAGGAAATAACATTAAAAAATATATATTTGGATTTTTTATAAGACCCCCAGGATTCTGAGAATAAGCTGCAAAGTTTAAAGTGACCAAATCTTGTTAGAGAGGTATTAGAGTCTCTAAAATATTTTTAACAAATGCATTGCCACTTGAAAATGATAAGCTTTTGGCTAGTTTTGCAAATTTAGTCACATTCCATTGTATTTTTTTAAATCCTGGGTCTGTGGGCAATAAGTATCAAAATTATTAACCTTTCCCACAGATTCACTTAAAGACTGTATATAAAAAGCAGTATTTCTGTATAACTTGCCATATGTTTGATTCTTCAGATTACTTCTTTGATTTGTATTAGAATAAGAACAAAAGGAGTATGATAGCAACTACTACAGCTAGTACACAGGGTAAGCTCTGTTGCAAGAAAGCCAATGTGGTTTCTGTAAGATTTTTCTTATTGGCTAATGACATGTTAAAGCTACCTTTTTAAAAAATATCTGGCTTATTAAAAATCATGTACTGTATAACAAATCTAATAAAATGCCTCCCCTAGGGACCTTTAGTAGTAGTACCTGGAAACATATTTTGGTTGTCACAAGTTTGAGGAAGATGTTAGTGGTATCTAGTGAGTAGAAGCCAGATATGGTGTTAAAACATTCTGAAACCACAGGACCATCTCAAAGGAATCATCCAGCCTGAAATGTAATAGTGTCAAGGTTGAGAAACCCTGAAATTGACTCTCCAACAAAAGCATTCACCCCAGGGAGTATGAGATGAAAGAAGTCATTTTGATACAAGAGCTCTTTAAGTTATCTAATAGATGGATAGCTTAATGGATTTGGGGGGTCATTATATTAATTTTATATTGCCAATTTACCTTAGACCTTTATGTTAGAATTTAACCCCTAGGTAAAATGTGATTCCATTGTTTAAAAAAATAGGTTGATATAAAGTGTTTGCAATCATTGTTTCCCTTTATCTCTCCTTTCATGAGTCAGTATCTGAATTTTTATTAGAGGCTTTATAAGGGGTAGAGATAGAAAGTGACCCATGAAGACAGAAAACCATATAGCAGGTTTATAATTTGGTTAGGAAGAAAAGATACAAAAGAAAAGCCAGTAGAAAGTTGCTTTTGCTAAGTGCTTATGGACCGTAATTATACTTCCGGAATTTGAGAACACAGTCACTAAAGACCCAAAGACTAATGAAAACTGTTTAAGGCAACTGTAAATCTTAAGTGCTAATAGTTGAACAAAGTCATAAATATAGGACTAGCAGCCTAATTGTGTTTAAATAACTAGCAATCATTCAATCATTATTGTGACACAGATTTGGATTTTGTATCATACTGTGAATTTCTCAGCTATAAGTTAGAAACTTACATTGAAATCACTTTTCACCTATAGTCTCACACTATTTTGCTGGTGCAGCCTACCAAGAGGCCAGAAGGCAGAACTTATGCTGACTATGAATCTGTTAATGAATGCATGGAAGGTAAGTTTCACACCAATCCAGTTGTAGAAATCTTTGTATTTTCCCCTAACATTCACTGTTAAAATGCATTATGCCTATATATATTAAGTATGTCACCCAGCTACCAAAGAGGCTATGGTAGACACAGCACAAGTTTGAATCCAGCCTGGTCAACTTAACAGACCCTGTCTCAAAAAATAGAAAGGTTTGGGGATGTAGCTCAGGCATACAGTGCCTTTGGGGTCAATCCCTAGTAACGCCCCCACACACACTATAAATAGATAGATCAGTCTCTCCTTAGGAACTAGGTTTGGGTTTGTTGTTTTTTCTCTAGATTTCTTAAATTGTTAATTTGAGCAGGGAAACTAGGTACTGAAAATAGGCCATATTTGTTAAATATCTCATATTATGCCATTTCTTCCTGCCACAAATATTTTAATCAAGCTCATGCATATATTCAGTGACTTTCCAAAGCTTCTCCTCTGTTATTTCTTTTATTATGCTGTGCTTCATTATGTAAATATTTTACAGAGCTCCTTGTATATTTTGCTTAAACTCCAGCACTGTAGAGTTGTTTAGGCAGCCTCTGGGATGCCTGCAGCATCTAATAGTTCTTCTATTAAATAAATGTTAAAAGCAGTTGAGATTTGATTACAGTGCATCAGAATGCTGTTAGAGAACAAAAGTCAGCTCAGAATAAAGACTAATGGAACAAATCAACATAATTTGTTGTGTATTTGATGAATGAATACCACTCTCGAGAATTATAGTTTTTTTTACTCAGTAAGCCGTTAGAGCACATAAATTAGATTTTCACAAGTCAATTTTGTTCTTAGGTTTAATCTTTATATTAAATTAACCAGTTTGCATAGCCCACATATTTTCTAGCAAATTGTTCATTCTTCCTGATATTTTGAGATAGGGTCTTGCTATGTAGTGAACTCACCGTGAGCCTCCTGGGATTACAGGCTCATACCACCACACCCAGCCATTCTTCACTTCTTCCACTTTGTTTTTGCTGCTGGACATGTCCTTAACACTTGATTATTCAAAACTAACTGGGTCGGATTTATAATAATATGTCCAATAAGTACACCTGTGTGGGGGGGAAAGCTATTTGCAACCAGTTACCTTCTAGGTAGGCGGTGTCATTCTATCCAGACTGCCATCAAATTCTGCTCTGATTTTCTGCTTTGATTTTAAAGAAAAGCAAGGAACTTTTCCCTTTTTTCTTTTTTCTCTGTTGACATCTTTGTTTGCCCTTAAGGTAAACTGTATATATTTACTACCTTAGTATAATGTTTTCCTGTCTAAATTGTCATGCTTCTGGGATTCCCTTTAGTAATGTTGCAGATTTCATAAAACCTTTTTTTTAATTTCAAATGCTTTAATTATGCTTTTTAATTAATATGTTTTTAGGCAATAGAAAAATTAAAAGGTACAAAGAATTCTCTTACTAAAGTCCATGTTACATTAGGATTCATTCTTTTGGGTTGTATAGTTCTGTGGATTTTGCCAAATCCACAAGGTTGGATCCACCAGTACAGTATCATACAGAATAGTTTCACTGTCCTACAAATCCTATGTCCTACCTTTTTGTCCCTCCCTATCTTACCCTTCCAACTTCTGAGAACCACCAGTCTCTTTACTGTCTTAATAGTTCTGCCTTTTCCAGATTATCATATATGATAGTTCCTCAGTATCTTTGGGGGGCTTGTTCCAAGACTCCCTTGCAGGGTACCAAAGTGCAAATGCTCAAATCTGTTTCCTAAAAATGATACATTTACATATAACTTACACTTATCTTTCGGCATACTTTGTTTTTTTGTTTTGTTTTGTTTTGTTTTTGTTTTTTTGGTACCAGGGATCGAACTCAGGCCCTTGTGCTTGCAAGGCAGGTGGCGGAACCACTGAGCTAAATCCCCAGCCTTTCTGCATACTTTAAATCATCTCTAGATTACTTATAATACCCAGTACAGTATAAATACCTATATAAATAGTAATACTTTATTGTTTAGGAAATGACAAAAAAGTTTGTATGTTTTAGTACTGATGCGGTTTTTTTCTCAAATACTATCAATTCAGTTAGTTGAATCCATGGGTGCTAAACCCATATAAATGAGGGGCTGCCTGTACTTGTTTGAATTATTAACACCTATATCCCTCTTTGTCTCAGATTCCCCACCCCCCTCGGTACTGGGGATTAAACCCAGGTCCTCTTGCATGCTGGAAGCACTCTACCACTGAGCTACACCCTCGCTGCCTTTCATTTTATTTTGAGACAGGTTCTCAAGTTGCCTAGGCTGGCTTCAAACTCGTCCTCCTTCCCTAGTCTCCTGACTAGCAGAGATCATTAGGCATGTGTCACCACACCTGGCCTATAGCCTTTTCATACTGGTTTCTTTCATGCAACAGTATGCATTTAAGTTCGTTCCATATGTTTTCATGACTTTATAATTCTTTTCTCTTTTTTTAGATTAGAAGTAGTGGTTTATTTTCCTATTTCAAAAGTTGATATCAGTCCGGGGATTTAGCTCAGTGGTGCTGCTGCCTGCCTTGCAAGTGCAAGGTCCCAAATTCAATCCCCAGTACCAAAAAAAAAGTTAATATCTGGGGAATGTGGCTCAGTGATAGAGCCCTTGCCTAGTTTGCACAAGGCCCTGCGTTCAATCCCTAGTACTAGGAAAAAGAAAATTTTAAAATGAGCGTTTAGGGGTATAGCTCAGTGGTATAGAGCTTGCCTAGCATGTTTGATTCCCTAGCACCTCACCAAAAAAAAAAAAAAAAAAAAAAAAAAGTTAAAAAATGTTGAAGTGTAATTATTGAATCAATACCCACACATGGAATTTCTCTTTCCCCTTCCCAGTTTCCTTTATTAATGTATCTTGTGTTAACGTGATGCATTTGCTGTTTTTGAGAAACCAACCCTAATACATTATTAACTCATAATTTTACATTAGTATTCACACTTAATTTGAACATTTGACATATGTATAAAGACAAGTTTCTACCATGACTATATCATAGAGAATAATTTCACTACCTTGAAAACCCTATATTCCACCTGTATTGCCCTCCTCATCCCTAAGCCCCTGACAACCACTGGGTTTTTTGCTTGTTTGTTTTTTATAGTATCTAGCTTTACTATTTCTAGAATGTCACATTGGAATTAATCATTAGCATTTTCAGATTGACTTCGTTCACCTAATATGCTTTTAAGATTCCTCATTTTTCATGGCTTTATAGCTTATTTCATTTCTGAATAATATTCCATTGTGTGAGTGTAGTAGAGTTTGATTACCTGTGGAAGGACATCTTAGTTGCTTCTATTTTTTGGCAATTAATAAAGCTTCTGTAAACATTTGTGTGTAAGATTTTGGAGGATTTGTGTTCTCAACTAATTTGGACAAATATGTACATGGGAGTTCTTTTTGCTCAGAGTCTTGGCCAACCTTTGGTGTTGTCATGGTTTTAGATTTGAACCATTCTAGTAAGTGTGTATGGTTATCTCATTGTTTTAATTTCTTGTGCAATTCCTCAGTTATATAGGATGTTTGAGTACTTTTTCATAGGCTTATTTGCCATCTGTATGTCTGTAGAAAGATGTATTTAGATATTCTGTCCACTCTTTTTGTATGTTTTGCTTTCATTGTTGTTTTAGTGCTTCATATATTGTGGATACTAGTCCTTTAATACATATGTGTTTTGCAAAGATTTACTCCCACTTTGTTGTTTGTCTTTGTAATCCCAACACTCGCGAGGCTGAGGCAAGAGGATCACTGTGAGTTCTGTGAGTTCAAGACCAGCTTGGGCTCCATAGTGAGTTCCAGGTCAGTCTCAACTACATAGTGAGACCCTGTCTCCACAAAAAAAAAAGAAACACAAGTTTCATTTTCATGAGTACAACTTGTATTATTTTTTCTTTTGTTTCTTTCCCATGCTTTGGTGTTATCTAGGAAACCATTGTCTTACCTAAGATCACAAAGATTGATACCTGTTGTTTTCTAAGAACTTTATAGTTTTGGCAGTTATTTATAGCTGCCTGTTCTGTTTTGAGTATTTATTAATGGTATAAGGAATGGGCCCAACTTTATTCTTTAGCATGTAATTATCTAGTTGTCATGCTGCCATTTGACTATTCTTTCTCCATTGAATTTCTTGCCACTCTTTTAGAAAAACATTTGACTGTAAGTGTGAGGGTTTATGTCTGGCCTCAGTTCTATTCCATTGGTCTATGTGCCTATCCTTAGGTCAGTATCACCCTTGATTGCAGCAAGTTCATAATAAGTTTTAAAATCAGATGTGAATCTTTCAACTTGGTTTGTTTTTTGTTTTGTTGTTGTTGTTTTCGGAATATTTTAGTTAACCTGGGTCTCTGGCATTCCATGTCAAATTTAGGATTAGCTTGTCGATGTCTGCAAAGGTAGCTCAGAGTTTCATAGGGTTTGCATTGAATGTATAGATAATTTGAGGGAGTATTACAATCTTAATATCCTCCAACTCATGCTTTTCCATTTGGTAAGGTCTTTATTTTCAATTTCATTTTATAGCTTTAAGTGTAAAAGTCTTGTGCTTTTGTCAGATTTATTACCAAGAACTTTATTCTTTTTTCAATGCTGTTGTAAATGGAGTTTCTTAATTTCATTTTCAGATTGTACATGTTACAGTGTAGATTTACGATTTATTTTCATATATTGTTCTTATTATATCCTGCAACCTTGCTTCTCATTCATTCTGATATTCCTCATTTAATGACCTGTTTAAATGACTGGTTGGACTTAACAACCTGTCTTTTTTTCTCCCCCCTTTTTTTGTACAGCATAATCTTGTTTATACAATGCTGTGATTTTCTTATTTTACTGCATATTACAGTACTGCGTGTAAGAGTTACACAAGTAAAAGCAAAGTCATCAAGTTGGAGTTTCCTTTAACCATTTCTTTGTTCTGAATATTGTAATGAACCTACTATGTACAAGTCCTCATTTAGCCACCAAGTCCACTAGGACACAGGACCTTATTCAGTCGTTAAACAAGGAGTATTGGGGTAGGAGGGTTGTTTCCTTGAAAGTTTCTATCTACAAGGTTTTGTGATTTGCAAATATAGATGATGATGCTTTCTGAAACAAATGCCTGTTAGTTCTTTTTCTTGTCTAATCGACCTGGCTAGTACCTGTAATAAAATGTTGAATAGAAGCAGCAATAGTGGATAGTTCAATCTTCTTCCTAATCTTAGCAGAAAAGCATCCAGTCTTTCACCATTAAGTATAATGGTAGCTGTGGATCATTGCCCATTTAAGATGAGCACTGAATCCATTTTCTTGGTTTTTATTTCCTTTCCATTCAATGACGTATGAGTGGTATTATGTGATCATAATGTAATGTACCAGTAGCAGTCAAAAACCCTAAGATTGGGGCCAGGGATTTAGCTCAGTGGCACCACACCTGCCTTGCAAGCACAAGGTCCTGAGTTCAATCCCCAGTACAAAATAAAATAAAATAAAATAAAAATAAAAACAACTAAGATAATTGCTTAATAGTTCTGCGGAAGTATTCCATGGTAGTTGGATGTGGTGGTACTCAATTTCAGCACTCTGGGAAGTTGAAGCAAGAGAATATAGCAAGTTCAAGCCCAGGCTTGATGGCTTAGTTATTTATTAAGACACTGACTTAGAATAAAAAATAAGGGCTGGAAATGTAGCTTAGCATGAAGGCCCCACATTCATTCACCAGTACTGCAGAAATTTTTTTTTAAAAAGTTGATAGTGGGAATGGAATAAAAAGGTGTGTTTCCCTTTCTTGAGAATAAAAGAGGAATATTTCACTGAGTAAAAATTAAATGGACAATGTGTTCTGTAGAAATTAACGTTTCTAGGCCAGAGATTTAGCTCAGTGACACCGTGCCTGCCTCACAAGTGCAAGGTCCTAAATTCAGTTTCTGGTACCAAAAAATAATAATGAGGGCCCAGAAATTATGTTTCTAGGGGGATTTCACTCGTTTTTTATTGTATTAGAATATTAAGCATATTAAATGTGTTAATGTTTCATATGTGTTGTTACTTATAATCCTCACAACACTATGAAGAAGTATTATTATCTTTGTTTGAAGGATAAAGTTCCTGGCCTAATATTTCATGAGTAGTAAAGTCATAGTTGGGATTTAGGTCTGTCTGAATCTAAATCTCAGGGTCTGGGTACCAAATTAGAATAAGCTCTAACCTCATTTCTAGCCACCCCCACCATTGCACTAGGATTTGAAGGCAAAATAGCAAAGTTCTATCCACGTCTCATCCATCATTCCAGAGTTTGATGTCTCCTTTAGATCCTATGGCTTTAGGAAGATTTGTTGAATAGCTTGATATTAAGAACGACTTGTTGCTGGTTTTGTTTGTTCTCTGTGTTAACTGGTATTGAATCCAGGACTTCATGCTTGCTAATCAAGTGTTCTAAAGTCCCTTTAGCTCCATTGAAGTAGTCATTTTATTATTAAGGCACAAAATAGTAACATTCTAATGAATTTGTAAAATTTTTAAACTGCTTTTGGCAAAAATTTAAAGCTTTTTTGGCCCAATTTTAGTAAAATAAATGTCAACATGTAACACTACTCCATGTAGTAGTTTGTGCAGTTGTAAATGATTGGGTTTTCTTCCCTCTATTAGGTGTTTGTAAAATGTATGAAGAACATCTGAAGAGAATGAACCCCAACAGCCCTTCTATCACATATGATATCAGTCAGTTGTTTGATTTTATTGATGATCTGGCAGACCTCAGTTGCCTTGTGTAAGTATTAGCCACCATATCTTTTAACTTGTATTTTTCTATTGTTTATTTGAGGTGACATGGTATTAGGGGTTAACTGTCTGACACTTATCTTTGCTTTTTGTATACTATAATATTTCACTTCCATATTGTTAAGTTGGCAACATAATGCCAGGGGCACAGGAATATCTTAAGAAACTTTACTAGTTGATATAGTGAATATGAATAAAGAAAGTTTATGTTTCTTAAACATAATGATCCTCAAGAACCAAGACCTGTCAGGTAAAGGTATAAGATCCCAATAATGAATGTAACTGTACTGTATACCTAAAATGTCCCAATAAACTCAATGGGGCGGGGCAAAATGATCCTTTTCATAGTGCCCCCATCCCCTTATAGTCTTTGTCCTAAGGCAGTTGGTTTTGGGCTAAAACTAGTATAACTTTTTCAGGGCATTTTGGAAAGCTTAAGTGTAAGTAGAATTAAAATTAAGTATAATCCTAGCCTGTGTAAACATGTATGTTTTGGCTTACTAGGATGAGTTTTCTTTAGACTTGTATGTTTTCTAGTCTCAGATTTGTCACATTTTTAAAATTTCTAATACTTGTTAACATTCCTTTTGATAATCTGCTTACGATCATTACTACTAAGAAGCATACAGTGTAGTAGACTTAAATCTTAGTACCATTTGTGAATGAGAAAGTGTAAACAGCTCATTTTATGGAGGAAAATGGGGACATCTTGGGATGAAATGACAGTCTGGGGCTGCTTGATCACTTATTACAGTACCTGTCAGGCACACTGTCAGAACTGGAGGGAGCACTGCTGACAAGGATACAGGTCCTACTCCCAGACACATTCTGGAGCCACACAACAGCTAGACCTAGAACCTGGCTGCACCTTGCTATCTCCCTGGAGGCTCCTGAGAAAGACAAGCATTTCCTTGGGATTTTTGAGCTTTGTTTTTTGTCCATGATTGTGTTTCAGATGGATCATTTCATTTTACTTGCTCAAAACATCCAAGTATCCGGTTCTGGTGTTTAATGAAATATGTTCATAAATTTGTTATTAAAATTAGTTTGTCCACCTGCCTCCCAAGCGCAAGGTCCTAAGTTCAATCCCCAGTACAAAAAAAAAGGGTCAAATGCTCAGTGGTGCCACTACCTCTCTCACAAGCATAAGAAGAGTCCTGAGTTTGATCCTCAGTACCAAAAAATAAAATGAATTCCTCACAAGCACGGGGTCCTGAGTTTGATCCCCAATACCAAAACAATAAATAAATAAAATGAAATGAAATAAAATTAGTTTGTAATGCCTATAGTTGTACTGCTTATAGTCTGACATGTATTCTTTCTCACAGACATGTATATATTTAGCAAATAGTTACTGAATGCTAACCACATATCAAGTACAGTTGCCTCTCAGTATCTGCGGGGAATTGGTTCCAGGGGTCCCAATCTGCTGCAGAAACCAAAATCCAAGGGTGCCTTCCTTGTATAAGAAGACGTAGTATTTGCATATAAACTGAACATGTGCCCCATATACTACAAATCACCTCTAGACTATAAAATAATATCTAATATAGTGTAAATGCTACCTAAATAGCTGTTAAACTGTATTGTTTAGTTAATGATGACAAGAAAAAAGTGTATATGTAGCACCAGGGCTGGTGGCACACATCTGTAATCCCAGCACTCAAGAGGCTGTGGCAGGAGGATTGTCCTAAGTTTGAGGCCAGCCTGGGCTCCATAGCAGGATCCTATCTCAAAGAAAAAGAAAAGTGTACATGGTCAATACAAATACAACACCTTCCAAAAGTCCCACCTGCAAACACATGAGGCTCTTGGGGGGTATCTAGATGTAAAATGTAATGTGTGCAATGTAAATTGTAATGTATTATTCTACAGTTTAAGAACAGGGAGCATTATTCTTGTACATTGTGGAATTCCCAGTATCTAGAATAATATCTTACACATAGTTAGCACTGAGTAAATACTGTCTTTGTTTTATCAATGCATGTCACCCACATAATGATTTAAGGCATTTTTTTTTTAAATCGGTAATTTTCCATTTCCCTTATTTGTGTTAATGAGCTGTATTCTGAATTGATAGGATGATCTAAATAAAAGTGAAAGAATATATTACATGCTAAATTGTATAGTATTTTCTTTTAGAAATCTTAAAGTTATTTATTTGATGAAATAGATCTGTATGGTCCAAGGTGTATTAGTGTTGATAAATTTTCACTTAGAAATTGACTAGATGTTTCAAGTAGAACTGAAGATTTTAGTTTAATACAGACTCTCACTTTCTTTGAGTTAATGATTTCAGAAGTTAATGGTTGCCTTCATAATCTTATAAAGCATTACTTACCAAGACATCAGGTGTCTATTCCTGATAATTTGTGCTTTGGTGCTCATTCTCAACACATGGGAAGTAACTTAGAGCTAAGGGTGGTGTTTTACTCAACCCTGGGAAGCTATAGGTAAGATTTAACTGGAATTTATAAATTAAATGTATCTGGATTTGATTTCTGGCTCTACCATTTATAAGCTCCCTTGGCAAATTAGCTCAATATTGCTAAACCCCAATTTGCTCGTTTGTAAAATTCAGATAAACCTATTTCACAAGATTACTTAGGAGGATTGGGGGCTCACTTAGCACATCAGTAGCAAGTATAAGTAGAAACTCCATCTTTGAAGTTAGGACAGAGTTTCGTTTTTATTACACACGTTCTTGTTGAAAATTTTTTGTTCTCTGAAAATATTGAGAATTGAATTTAGATTTAGGGCCATTTTTTTAAGATGACTTTGGTTATGTCACATCTGTTATTTGAATACTCCAGAGAAATAAGATACTTATTTCCATGGAGATCATTTACTGTTAGGGCACTTGTGACATCTTGCTCCTTTTTAACTTTTTAATAGTGTAGCTCTGGACTCAGTGGTGTACAAAGCACTAGGTTCAATCCGTCACCGCAAGAAGAAAAATTGTTATACTGAAAAACAGTATAGGAAGGAACTGAATAGAAATTCTACTTTATGACATGACTAAACCCAGAACAGACTATATTCATTATAAAATTTAGGCTTTGAGAATTTGTATGTCATGTAGCGTAGGAGTTTTATTTTTATAGCTTTTGGGTTTTTTTCTATCTGTATTTTTTTTTCTTTAGATGAAAATAATAGCATCTTCAATATGAGGGCATTTTCATCCCCAGTTATTGTAATGAGGAGGTGCCTCCTAATCAGGCAGATAACTTGTTAGTGAAGACCCTGTTGAAAGTTCTCCTTAAGTTGTCCAGGCTGAGCTTGAACATACAATCCTCCTGCCTCAGCCTCCCAGGTGCTGGGATTACAGGCATGTGCCACCATGCCTGACTGCATTCTATTCTTGTATGAGCCTACATTAACTGACCATAACAACAGGTTGAAAAAGTCACCTATGCAAATAGTTAATGTACTTAATATTTCTCATTTTCAAGTACCAGCTAATAGATATCAATACATAGCTTTCCATAAAGAAAGCTTTATGACTGTTTTATTGATTGGAAAATGGTGTGCAAGTTAAGAGATCCTTAAATGTTCCTAAGCCCAGAGTATACTTGTTGGGGGATAAAATGTTCTAAATAAGACTATTCCATCAAGACTTGTCATGTAGAGGTACAAGATCCCAACAATGAATGTAACTGTACTGTATCCCTAAAATGTGCCAATAAACTCAATTAAAGCTGGGGGGAAAATAAATAAATAAATAAATAAATAAATAAATAAATAAATAAAGTTTGATTAGCAGAGACTATTCCATCCAGTATGATAGTTCTGACAAACTCTGTTCCTTCTTTAGTCCTTTGTCAGTGTTAATGTAAGTCACTTTCATTATTTTACCACACAATGAAGCAGACGGGACTAGCATTTATTTAATAAGGAAGCATAAACAGAGGAATAGTTACAATTATTTCACTTTTTAAAATGCTGCTCATAACAAAGGGCATTAGCAAAAATCAAATGTTTATAAAGTAGAAATCCAGTATATTATAGTAAGACAGCTTCTGACTTTACCATTCAGAGGAAGAATATGTTGTTTATTATATAAAGCAGTCCTACTTGGTAGTTTGTTTGCCTTGCTAAAATTTGGCGTATAGGTTTCTAGCTAAGGAACTAAGGGAGAGCAGGCGTGTTTACTACCTGTTCAGTGTCACTTAGTTCTTCACTTGCTTTACTTCTTTAAGCTTTGTTTCATTTATATAAAGGAATGATAATTGTACCTGCCAAAGATTTATAAAAAGGATGAAGTGAATTAACTCAGATAAACACTTAAAGCACCACCTCCTTCTTGAAAGCAACTTTAATAAATTGTCTTCATAATTTTTTGCTGAGAACAAAAAATAGAACACTGTTAGCCATAGTGAAACAAAAATTGATAAATCAGATATTTTCTTTTTCTAGGCTACCTCTGAGGTGTCTTTTTAGGCAGACTAATTGGCCCATAGAGACAAACTTCATCCTCAACCTTTCAGTTGCTGTGCAGTATCCCCACCAGATGGTGCCCATAGCTGTGAAGCACTGATACAGGCTTTGTATGTATGTAGTCTCTGGTAGCTTGTCTGCCTTTTTATATGATAGCTTTACTTAGGGGCTTCAGAATTTGGGGCCTTCCAGGTTTCAGTTTGGGTCAGCAGGAAGGTTTTTTATATTTTTTGAATCCTGTAAGAAGTTCCTTACAATTGGCTGTTGATTCAAAAAATGAAAAAAGTTTGTACTAGTGTGTTTTTTTATTTTTGTTTTTGTTTGGTACCAGGCATTGAACTCGGATCCTTGAGCTTGCGAGGCAGGTGGCGGAACCACTGAGCTAAATCCCCAGCCCCTGGTTTTTGTTTTTTAATTAAAGGAACTATGAAAAGGAAACTACATTGGAGAAAGAACACATGGTTTCTGGTTGAACTCTGGAGAAGTACATACGTAACATATTGATCATTTAAAAGCTCTAGGCCTTGTTTTCTTCTTTCACTCTAAGCTATACTACATGATTTAAAATTCATAGTGGTTAAAATTCATCAGCTAGGTAAATGCTTTTTCAACTGTTCATTATATTTCTGTAGGGAAGTGTGCACATGAGGGCCATCATTGGGCAGTTATAGTTTGGAGTTTTAAACACACAACAATAATTGACCACTATAACTTTATGACTTTTTTGTTCTTCAGTTACCGAGCTGATACCCAGACATACCAGCCTTATAACAAAGACTGGATCAAAGAGAAGATCTACGTGCTCCTTCGTCGGCAAGCCCAACAGGCTGGAAAATAATGGAGTTGGCAGCATTAGGGGGCTGGCGAGGATGTGCTTGGAACACCAGCTGTGTACAGAGTGCTCTAATGGAAGTTCGTATTATGGTGATCCTGTCTCCATTTTGTTACACTCTGGCCAGGATTGAATGTATTAGATGAAATGTGAGATGTGAGGGTCTTTCAATCCAAAACCTCCGTTGGCCCCTTTTTCTTTCTTTTCTTTTTCGTTTTTGTTTTTGTTTTGTTTTTTTACTTAAACATTTTTATGATGATTTGGATGGAAGTTGTTCTTTGTCAGTGTTGGTTCCAGTCCTTCAGATTGTTCATATCTGCTTTATAACGTTCACTGTACTAATCTTTTGAAGATGGGTGGGGGATGATGACACAGTTTAGTTATGTCTTCAAGAAGTCTTAGAAATAAATAAATGTTCTTTAGTTATATTTTCTCACTGGCTTTTTTTTTTTTGTTTTTTTTTTTTTTTTTTTTTTTGTCTTTGAATGTTGAATTTTCTCACAAAACATAATCGGTTTTCAAGCCAGTAGGGCAATGCAAAGAAAGTTTATATATGTGCTGAACACATCTTGTGGTTTATATGAAGCTGATAAGCTTTTACCTCATCCAGTTGTCATTGAATCCCAGTTTGTAGCTCTAAGGTTTAATCTAATGGTGATATAAACATAGTACAGATGCTCCTGGATTTACAATGTGGTTATCTCCTGTAAACACATCATATGTTGAAATTACTAAGTCCAAATGTACTTACCCTAAAACTTACAGAACCTGCAGAACATTGTAGCTTAGCAACTCAGTGGTAGAGTGATTGCTGCCTCTTGTGATCGTGTGGCTGAGTGTGAGCTGCAGCTCACTGCCCAGAATCAGTAGACTGTAATACTATACACTGCTAGCCTGAGAAGAGATCAGACTTCACAATTTTAAGAATAGTCTACCACGTGCCTATTGGTTTCACACCATCTTCCCTTGGACTGTCTGAAAAGACTAGCAAAATAGCTTGTCTGCAGCAGTGCCAAGTTAGCGCCTCAGTTGCAGCCAAGTTAGCGCCTCAGTTGCGACCAAGTACTCTTTCTAGGACGTCCTTGTGCCCTTCAGAGCCTGTAGCAGTTTGATGCTAATTACCCTTTCCTTTGTAGAAGCTGTGAGGGCAAGAAAGTCCACAGAAAACTACAGGGTAATCTTGCTTTTAATGTGCTATTTTTCTTTTTTTTGTGTAAAACCAAATTCTAAGAATTTGTGTTTAATTATTTAATAATGAAATAGCACACCTATCAAAATTATTAAAATTAGGGTACCAGGGGCTGGGGATTTAGTTCAGTGTTTCCACCCCCTGCCTTGCAAACACAAGGACCAGAGCTGATCCCCAGTACCCCCCCAAAATGAGGATACCAGCTGGTCCGAGTAGTACTCTAATCCCAGCACTTGGGAGTCTTGAGGCAGGAAGATTTCTGAGAGTTCAGGTCAGCCTGAACTATATATACACATACTGGGGTACTTAACAAAAATTTAGTGTTTCACTGAATCAGCGAGATTTTAAAGCTGAAATTTCAGAAAAAGAAACATGCAGGGCTAGAGATTTAGCTCAGTGGTTCCACCACCTTCCTCGCTAGCTCAAGGTCCTGAGTTCATTCCCCGGTATCCAGAAAAAAAGTACAGAGCAAATCTCGGGGGAATGGGTTCCCTTGATTCTCAGATACAAGCTGGGGTTACCGGTGTGCACCATCATGCCCTGCTGCTCTTTTACTTTCAGTGTTACCGAAGGAGTCAGTAAGTGACAGAGGCAGCAGAATGGAAGTAAAATAACAAGTGTACTCATCGATAAGGTCAATTGCACATAAGCCCTGCCTGGATCAACGACGCACTGGGTTACAACTCCTCCTTTTATAGGGTTTTACAGCCTTGACTTCATTTGGGTGGTTACATTTCATTCTCACAGTTCAAATCACGGTCACAGAGTAGTTAATCTTTTCAACCCAGACGTAACAGTTCTTTGCAGTTGGGGAGTTTACCTTTAAGATTCACCGAGTTATCTTCCTAGTCCATAGGAAAGGGGGGTGTTCAGGGTCGGGAGCAAATGTTAGCAATGGGTCTTTTAATCTTGACACTCTTACGATCATGTGGCTCCAGTCTCTACAGAGCTGGAGACCTTGATGTGCCCTGTTATCTCAGGGTCAGACCAAATGCCTCAGTCAGCAGTTAGTGCCTTGGGTGCCTATTGTTCTGAGCTAAAAAGGCAAACTGCTGTTAAGAGACAGCAGATGCCACTTTACATTGTAACACTTTATAGGTTTTTGCTATTTATAAAAGTTTTCCCTATCATTAGCAAGGCATGAACAGATCGATTTGGGCAGCGAGCTACAGCTGTGCTAACAGGAAAAAGAATCTTGCAAGAATGTAAAAAAACATCTAGGTCCTAAATATTAGGTGATTGGAGCAAAAAGGAAACAGTATTTTGAATCATTAAAAAGTTTAAGAAAGTGGGCTAGGGATTTAGCTCAGTGGTGCTGCTGCCTCCCTTGCAAGTACAAGGTCCTGAGTTCAATCCCTGGTACCAAAAAATAAATTTTAAAAAAATATATAAATATATATATATATATATATATATATAGATATAGATATAGATATAGATATATATAAAAGTGAAATAAATAAATAGACATTTCTTCTGTGTAAGAAGAACAAAAGTACCTTTTTGTGAAAATGAAGTTTGTGACAAACATCCGGTGTTCAGCCCAGCTGCAACACCACCCACGTGCTATGAAATTTGGAAATATTCTTGCCTGTGCCCAGCCATACATAAAACAGTTTTGGTTTGGGGCTATTAAGTGATAGACTACTAACTGTATGTTGAACCTACCAGAAATTTTTATTTAGCTCCTGATTCTATATTCTGTTTTATATACCTGAGAATTTTATTAATACCTGTTTGCTGTACATAATTTACCTTTATCATGGAATTTCATACATGTACATAATTTCTCAAAAAAAAATTTTTTTTGTACTCTACCTCTCCCTCTCCCTCCGCATTCCTTCCAACTCTTGGTCTCCTTTCTTTTTCCTCTTTTTTTTTTTTTTTTGAGACAGGGTCTTGATATGTCATTCAGGCTTGTTTTGAACTCACTATGTAGCCTACACTGGCCTCAAACTCATGGCAATCTTCCTGCCTCAGCCTCCCAAGTGCAGGAATTAGAAGTGTGCACCATTACACCTGGTTCCCTTCCCATATGCAAAAGCTATTTGTTTTTTTCCCCCACCCCCTTTCATTTGTTTCCATTTGTTTCCCTTCACAATTGAAAAAGATCTCCCTACTTTCCTATTATCCTATCATCTAGCTTTTATTTTGCTCTTTATTTATAGTTTGGTTTTCTTATACAAAAGAAAGCATGTATATAACTGAGGATTTCTAGAATGGCTCTTGGTAATGGCTGCATCTGTCCTTTAGTGCTTGATCTAAAAGGTCACAGGGGTATGAAAGGGAGATTTCAACTATCATTTCATTTCTAGTTCTCTGGTTAAATGGATTCTCAACAACTCATCGCCTAATTTATGTCTCTCAGTCCTGTTGTTTGGGATAGGAGAGGTGGTGAGGTGTCGACTTTCTTTTGTTTTTTTTTGAGACGGGGTCTCACTATGTGGTTCAGGCTGGCCTTGAACTCACTTGTGTAGCCCAGGCTGGCATTGAACTCGGGCTGATCCTGCCTCAGCCTCCCAAGTGCTGGGATTACAGGTGTGCACCATCATGCCCAGCTGCTTCTTACTTTTAGCAAGGCATGAACAGATGGTTTTGAACTGTCCTGAAGACAGACTATATTGCTGCCTCAGCTTTGCATCAGGATGCTCCTTTATCAGATTTTTATTATTTGAAGGAGCAATCGGGTTCGATAAAGATTACTATATTAGTGGGGAAAACTATGTGGTAGCAAAATGACGATAGTGGTACACTTAGGTGTAGCATTTTGTTGCTAAGGAAATATTTTCATATATTAATCATCACTACAACCCTTTAAGGTAGGAAATTGTTATTTTAATGATGAATAGGTTTGGATTGTTTAAGTGATTCACTTACCCAAGTTTGCATAGCAATAACACAGAGAAACTTTGCTAAATGGAAGAGACAGTTTTTAATCTCAAAGATCACGAGGGGTGTGGGAAACCCCATAGAATGAACAGCTGTGAGCTACATAATGGATATCTGATGCCTGTCAGAAGCACCTTTTTAGACTCGAGCAAATATTTGGATTCACAAGACCTGAAAAAGTCACACTTAACACATTTTGCTCAGAGACATACAGCTTTTCACCCCAGCAGCAAGTATTTCTCCTCCAGAGGAGCACTCAGGGCACTTAACAGAGCCATCCAAGAATTACCCATTCCAAATTTTAGACAAGAGTAGAGGCACCCTGGCTAAGAAGCCTCACACATAAGAGCCGGCACCTCTTAGCAGGACTCCATAGACATTGTGTCTAGATCCCTGCAAGAGATATGTGTTTGGGGAAACAGGGTGTGTCTTCCAGGCACTAGTCCCTTCTCCCAGTCTGGGAGTAATTTACCAACTAGGGGTCATTTTTATCATAAACAGTTTTGCCTAGTAATACATTATACCACCAGGTTTCTAGGAATAGAGCTGGAAAACTAACCCCCAAATTTGTCTATACAGCAGTGTTGTTAATGCTTTATCTCCAAGATACTTAAGATGGCACATCTGATTGGCTTCATGAAAGAAGTGGCTCAGAGAGAGAAAGTGGAAGAAATGAGGTCTTGCTACTTTGCCCTGGATAGCCTCACAGAGCCTGGTCTCAGCTGACCCTTCTGCCTCAGACTCCTGAATAGCTGAGACTTCAGTCATATGGCACCTCTGCCCAACTGGGAAGTGACATTTGATCTGGACTTGGAAGGACAGCTACACTTTGAAAGCAAGAAAGTAGGACAGAAGTAAGCATAAGGAGATAATGAAGCACTGGAAATGTTTGAAAAATAGCAAGTAAAACCATCATGGAGTAAAGGGAACATTTTAAGAGAAGTGGTATTAAAGGCCAGGAAAGCTACAGCTGGAGGGCCTCAAACAGCAAGCTGGGGTTTTAGTTTAATTCCAAAGGCTACTGGGAGCCTTAAAAGCTTTTTCAGCCACAACCTGTCAATCTGCACCAGGAGGAATAAAACACTGCTCTGTAGACTGGATGGGAAAGTCAGAAAATATATCCTGGGAGCTAAGTCAAGATAGTTTTTCAGTGAGATAAGTAAGGTGAGAAATTTTAAGTGTTCTCACCACACACCAAAAAAATGGTAAATATGCAAGGTAAGGTAATAGATATGTTAGTTAGATTGATTTAGCCATTTCATTATGTGTATTTTAAAACATGTACAAGATAAATATATACAAATTTTTTGGTGCCTAAATCCCTGGCCCATATATATAATTTTTGTCAAT